TCAAAAGTGTATAAAATATAATAAAACTTTATTCTGCTGTTCTTCATTATAGTCATTTTACATTCATACTAATCGTATCAATACCGGAAAGATTACTGGAACACATGTAACCGGATGATGATTGTTTGTATTATTTAGTTGAATTATGCTCCTCTCGCAATAAAAGTAATGGTTGATGAGAGTTTCTTTTTTTTTTCTTTTTTTTTTAATGTTTTAAATTTAGCCATACATCGTTAGAAATAATTTTTTTTATATTTGAAGTGCACAGTCACAAAAAAAAAAAAAAATGATCAGTAATGTCAAGTTTAAGCCATGAAATAATTAGCAATATTTTGAAGATTTAATCAAATTTTACAAATTTCTCAGAAATAGTATTTTTACTTTTAATTGCCTCAAATTTTGTTTACAATTTCAGACCTCAATAATAATAGCTCCCAATTGAAACGATCGCTAAAATTGGTTCGAAAAAAAATACCATACCATTAATTAGCAATTAATTAAGGCGAAATTATTTGACCAAAAAAATTCGATCAACTATTTATTATCATTTCTTCTATTTTGTCCTTTTCTTTTGAAATTTCATTACAGTTTTTTTTGCTATATTAAATTACATGAAAATACCATGCAACAAATCATTTCACGATATTATTTTATAAGCAAAATTCAAAAAAAAAAAAAAAAACAATAAAAGATAAGATTTGTATAAAAAAATTATTAGAATGGAAAGATATGAAGATAATAATGAAGAAAATTGGTGGAAGTAAAACAAAAAGGAAAAGAAACTTGGATTTTAGGCCTGTCCAATTTTTACATCAAAAAATAAAAATATTTTAAACATTTTTATGCAAATATTTTTCCAATTAATCCAATCATTGCTTAAAATTAAAACAAATTTTGCTAGTTTTCTTTCTTTTTCCTGTTGTCAATCAATATTTTAAGTTATGTAAGAAAAAAGGAAATTGTAATATTGAAATTTTAAAAATTTTCAAAAAGGCAAAGAAATCTCGGTATAGTTTTGATGCTTGAAATTATCATTTTCTTTACAGAGTAATCATTTGAAAGTTTTGATAAAGACAATCTTATCATTTTGATAAAGAAAATTTTTGAAAATGTTATTGACATTTGAAAATTTAGGAATTCAATAGAGATTGTTAACACTGTCATTATTTCAAAATGATAAATATGTAATATTTTGAAAATTTCAATTTTTTCTTTGAGGAAAAAGTCATTAAATATTCAATTATTTTGTTTTGTATAACTTGTCATTTGCTTAATGTCCTCTATTCTCTCTCAAAAAATAGTAAGTTAATTCATAAAGTAATTAATTGTGTATTAATTATGCATTCATAGTTTCGATTAGTTTTTCTTTTCCAATGTTATTTAAATGCGCAATAAGAAAAGCGCAAAATGGATAATTGGAGCGCAGATGAACTAATCAAATGTGCAATTTTTCGAAATGTATTTGTAGTATTTTTAATGAATATTTACGATAATAAATGAAAAATATTAAAATTATGCTTGAAAAAAAAACGCTGTTTTATTTTTCAATCAATTTTTGAATTCTAAAAAGACCCAATAATTCCACTACTCATATGAAATTTCTATTTAATTTATAAATCTTAATCATTCTAAATTAATTGTTGAATTAAAAAAATTTTTTATGCCATTAAAATTTGATGATAAATCAAATGGTTGGATAACCATTATTATCATATATTTTCGAGTAATAAGTTTCAATTCCAATTTAAAGTTCCAATTTGATTACTAATGTATATTTGCTGATGCAAAATCAACGATTACTCATGTATATTTGCTGAGGTAAAACCAGAAAAAGTGATAAATTTTGCAAAATTTGTTTACAAATTTCTTATTTATATGTTAATAATGGTTGATGAATCATGAATTCGAAATGTTAAATATTACTACACCATTACTTATACTTTGGCAGATGTTTAGGCTAGCCATAACTTTTTCTATGTCCAAGCAATAGATGAAAAACCCAGTCCAAATGATGATTTGAAGATTTGGCCAAGTTAATTTCACATACATAATATTCATGATAAATCATCCTTTTTATTAATTATACAAAATGAATCACGCACGTGTACAGTCAATAACGTGAGCTTTTCCTTTTGATTTATCACATATTATCAATATACGTGAGTTTTCGTGATTTGTTACGTTTTGTAATCAAGTAAAGATACACATATTGAATATATATGGATACGGTATTTCTGTAACAAAGTAAATGATGAAATCATTTACTTTTTTTAATCAAATTTAAATTTATGCGTTTTTTTTTTTTTGTTAGCAAATAAGCAAATTTATGTTTTTCTCTAGCATTTTTTTTTTTAACAAATTTTTAGCCTTTTTTTTTCTCTATCTTATCAACTCTTCCACAATGATAATATTGCATAGCCAACGAATGATTTAATCATATTATCAGTGAATTCTTTACAATAAAATTCACTCATTTCATTACTTAGCTAAAATTTATCTTTTTCCAATTTTGGCACATTATTGGATGCATCATTAACGATACATAATGAAACCTATA